TCTGTTGGCTAGGATTTTGTTGAGAATTTTTGTGTTTATGTTCATGAGAGATATTGGTCTATAATCTTCTTAGTGATGTCCTTCCCTGGTTTTGGTATGAGGGTTATGCTTGCGTCATAAAATGTATTAGGAAGTCTTCCATCCTCTTCTATATTATGGAATCATTTGGGTAGAATGGTGACAGCTCTTCCCTGAATGTTTGGTAGACCTCACCAATGAACCTGTCTAGACCTGAACTTCTTTTGGTTGGGAGTTTTTTGATGACCTGATCAATTTCTTCTTGTGTTATGGGTTTATTCAAGTCTTCTACTTCATTCTGTAAGTTTAGGTAGGTCATGTTTTTCTAAAAATGTATTAATCTCTTCTGAGTTTTCAAATTTGTTGGAGTACAACTCTTCATAGCATTCTGTTATTATCCTTTTGATTTCCTTTGGTTCCATTGTGACATCCCACCCATGTGGTTTCTAATGCGTGTTATTTGTATTTTTTTCCTCTTTTCTTTTGTTAGGTTTGCCAATGGTTTGTCAATTTTATTAATCCTTTCAAAACTTCTTGTCCTGTTGATTCTTTCTATAGTTTTTGTTTTCTATCTCATTTTTTTCTGCTCTGATTTTTATTAATTCTTTTCTTTTGGTGACTGTAGGTTCCCTCTGTTAATCTATTTCTAATTGTTGGAGATGCTGTGTTAATGTGTTAGTTTTATTTATTTTTTCTTCTTTTTGGATGTGTGCATCTATCACAATGAATTGTCCTCTCAGCACTACTTTCTCCATGTCCCAAAGATTTTGGTATGTTATGTTTTTGTTCTCGTTTGTTTCTAGGAACTTTGTGAATTCATTTAATTTAGTCTATTACCCAGTTGCTTTTCAGCAGGGTGTTATTCTGTTTCTATGTATTCAACTTTATTTCCTTGGTCTTCTTATTGTTGATTTCTAGTTTTATAGCATTGTGGTCTGAAAAGATGCTTTGTAGGATTTTTATGTTTGTAAATTTATAGAGGCTTGCTTTGTGACCTTTGGTCAATTCTGGAGAATGTTCCATGTGCACTGGAAAAGAATGTATATTGTGCTGTTGTGGGTTGAATGCTCTGTACACATCTATGAGGTCAAGTTGGTTGATTGTACTGTTTAGTTCCTCTGTAACTTTGTCAAGTTTCTGTTTGTTCTACCCTTTTCAAAAGTGGCGTATAAAAATTTCCCACTATAATTGCAGACTTATCTATTTCTTTCTTTAATTGTAGAAGGGTTTGCTTTATATATTCTGGTGCTCTTTCATTGGGAGTGTAGACATTTATTATGGTTAGGTCATCAATGATCAATTGACCCTCTGATCATGAGATAGTGTCCTTCTTTATCTCTTATGCTGGTTTCTGTCTTAAAGTTTACTTTATCAGAGATTAGTATTGCTACTCCTGCTAGTTTTTTATTTATACCACGTTAGCTTGGTATATTTTTTTTCCATCCTTTTTTAATTTGTTTTTGTCTTTGAAGGTAGCATATTAGGTCTTGTTTTCTTATCCATTCTGCCACTCTCTGTCTCTTCACTGGTGCATTTAATCCACTGACATTTGGTGTAATTATCAATTGGTATACATTAAATGCTGTCAATATGTTAATTTTTTATGGTGCTATTCGTCCCTTTGTTCTACATGTCTTCTTGTGCTGAGTTCGTAGGGTTTTTTGTGCTATTTCTTGTCAGTTTCTTCTTAGTTTTAATGTTTCCTTTTTCTGCTTGGATCTTCATTTTCATGGTAAGCTGTGCAGTATTAACTTTCTTTGGGGTTACCCTATAGTCTATTAACTTTTCCCTCCATTTAAGTCAGTCTCTAGTATCCTGCAATCTACCTAACCTCCTCACCACCTGGATTACTGTTCCTATATTTTCCCCTTCTTTGACACTGCTATTACTTTGATCTTCAGTTGACCTCCCAGCTCCTTTGAATTTGTTGTTGTAATTTTGTTCTGTTCTGGACTCTGCTATCTGTCGTCTGAGTTTCAGGTGGTGTTGCCACATCTGTCAATCTCTGGTTGTTGTCTGTTCTTGTTGGTTTTCGGTCCAAATGACTCCCTTCAGGATGTTTTGAAGCACTGGATTGGCTTTGACAAAATCTGTTAGCTTCTGTTTATCCTGGAATGTTTTAATTGCACCATCGTATCTGATTGACAGTTTTTCTGGATAAATGATTCTTGGTTGGCAGGTTTTTGCTTTTAGGGTTTTATATATGTCTCCCCATTGCCTTCTTGCCTGCATGGTTTCTGCTGAGAAGTCAGAGCTTAATCTGATTTGCGTACCTTTGTAATTAACACTTCTCTTTTCCCTGGCAGCTTTTAGGATTCTCTCCTTGTCTTTGATTTTAGAGAGCGTGATTATGATATGTCTTGGTGATTTTCTTTTGGGGTCTATCTTTCCTGGGGTATGTTCGGTTTCTTGAACATGTATCTTCTCATCCTTCAAGATGTTACAGAAATTTTATTCCAGTAGCTCTTCAACTATTTCCTCTGTGGACTTCTGTGATTCTTCCTATTCCAGAATGCCAATAATTTTTAAGTTACTCCTCTTCATATTATACAGCATGAATCTCAGACTCTCTTCAGGTTTTATTATCCTTTTTTATGTTTGCTCTTCTATCTTAGCAGTATTGAGAGATTTGTCTTCCAGCTCGCTGGTTCTGGCTTCCATCTCTTCAGTTCTATTCCTTTGCCCTTTCCGTGTATTCTCCATTTCTGATATTTTATTATTAATCATCTGGACCTCTTTTTGCAGGTTTTGAATTGTTTCTAATGCTATATCTACCTTATTTGATTGCTCCTGTAGCACTTTCCTGACTTCTTCCTATTTTCCTCCACTCCTCTGTGAAGCATTTGAATTTGTCTCCCTATCATTCTTCTGAATTCCTTCTCAGGCAAATCCAAAGCCTGCTCTTCTTCTTGTGGAAAGTCTATGTCTGCCTTGAGCTCATTGATCTCAGTTACTCTTTTCTGTTTTTGGACATGTGCTGAGATCTTTTGTTGTTTTTTCTTGGACATTATCAGTAGTTAGGTAAGTTTTGAATGATCAAATGAATGTATGTGTAGAATCCCCAACACCTCTTTTTTCAAATGCCGCTGCGTGGTTTTTAGCATTGTATCACTGTATCAGTCTGGCTGTGGCCCCAGCCTCTGATCTCAGTCTTGGCAGAGCAGCCGCAGTGAGAGTCCCGCGTCCCAACTGATTCTGAAATCACAGTATTTTCCTTTCTACAGTGAATTTTCTACCGATGGGTGCAGGAAACTGATGCCCTGCACCTTATACTAGATCACGGAGCTGCTCCGTGAAAGCACCTTCTCTGGTTTTACCACGCCTCCCTGAAGGAGCCTGTCCTACCTGACACTGTTTCTCCCACCACCAAACCGGAAGTCTCTTGTTCCCTTTTTTTTGCTGAGTAATATTCCATTATGTGGAGAAACCATAATTTCCCTTTTTACCTGTTGTTAGACATCTGAGTTGTTTCCAGCTATTAATAGTAAGACTGCTAAAAACGTATGTGTACAGATCTTTTGGTGGACAGTTTCAATTCTCTTGGGTAACTACTTAAGGGTCAAATGGCAAGTCTGAATATATAAATGGACAAACTCTCTACAGTTTTGGTTTTTTAAAGGCATGTCAAATTCTTAGAAGTTGCATCTCCATATATTTGTTTTAGGACTTTCCTAAATTTCTTTGGGTGGTTGGGGTGGGCTCATTTCTAGAGAGGATGAGTCAAGGCCTCTCTTAAGGAAAAAAACTGGGTACAGAACAGCAGTACTACATCCTTTTACAACTTCCCTAAATTGTGTTTCAGGAGAGGGTTCTGATGGATGGTAACGGATGGAGCTTAGCCTGGGCTGAACTGGTGGAGTTATATTGGCCAGAGGCTGAGGCTGACACATGGAGGAGAATAAAGTTTTGTCTTACAGAAAAGAGGCTGCAGAAATAGAAGTGAATTTCTCTATTTGCAAAGTCTAGAGAAAACGCCAAGATCTTTAGACTTATTTCCTTTCACAGTCTGGAAATCTTTGTTAAAGGGAGAAGGGATTAAAAATGGGCAATGAGGGAGATCCTCCTCTTATAGAGTATCTTTTCCATCAAGAGGGATGAGAATGAGCTAAACTCTTGCGGCTCATTTTTCCTTTGGGGAAGGGCAGACATCTTCATCCAGACACCTTCTCTTGCAAAATGCTCCACAAAATAGCAGCCCTTCTGCCATGAAGGAGGTTAACAGGGAAAACTCAGGAGGGAGGCTCATGATTCAAAAATGAAAATTCCAAATAAACACACAGTTTTCACCAAGAATGGAAGAAGTGGCACATTGAAAAGAGTACACAGAGATCACATGAACCTCCTCTGGGTGTATTTGGGGAACTCCAAAGCCCTAAGGTACCACTGATCTCAGGGAGACTGTGCCTTGCAGGCCAGGGAGCTCTGGTTTTCATTCTCTGCCCTGAGAGTAAGAACAGGCAAAGAGCAGAGGCTGATCCCCAGAGATGTGGTCAATATGGGAGTCTTAAGAGTCCACTGATGGGAGAAAGGACAAAAAAACCCTATGACCTTTCAAAGAGGACTAAGAAGGCAACACTTGGCAGCAGCTCTTGAAGAAAGGTCCAAGCTCTATTCAGGTTTCTCCTCAGCTGGTTGTAGGAGAGAAATAATGTCTTCTCTGAACTGTATTGTGTCTCTCACCCCAAAGTACTGACCTCAATGAGAAGCTCTGAGCAATATTTACTGTTTATCCCCCAAGATAAGGAAGAAATGTCTTATCCTGACTCGAACTTGGGCTATGGAGACTCTCATGAAGAAACATTTTTTTTTTTTTCCTTTTTCTAAAACTCACTGACAGTGACAATCTTACACCACTATAATTTTTTCTACTTCTGAATAAAACTAAACACAATTTTAAAAGACACATTAGACACAACATTTACATTTTAAAAATTATATGGCATGTGCCTTGCTTATGGTATGACAAAGTAAGCAATGCTTGCCTTTATTTTGTTGTCATCTGCTGAGATGATCTGTGCCCGTAACCACGCGTCCTCCTCGGCCTTTACTGCCAGCAACTGCCCAATGTGCACAGATTGGATTGGTGTGACCTTAGGGTTTTTACTGTAGAATTCCTTCATCTCATCTTCCATTAATTCTTGAGCAGCAGAATAGTCTTTTCCCACATACCTGAATTGGTTAAGGAAGAGAACACAAATGAAGGAACCTAGAAGGTTCATTGTTGTAACTCTGTTTTCTCTACTTTCATCTCTGGCTCCAGTCCCCGACTTGCTTCCATCAGCAGGAAGGAGAACATGTATTCAGTAATCATTTACATCTTGATAAGATAAAGTATTTTGGAAGTTATTCAAAACAAAATGGAGGTCCAACACAGCACAGAATAGAGCAAATGTTTGATGGTGAGCCAGAGAACTAGATGGTATGAAAGAGTAGTCTTCAGGTAGGACCAGGCTGAGCAAGAGCTTGAGGGAAGAAGATACGATGGAAAAAGGAGGCATCAATGGGAGCCAGATAGGCAAGGCTAAATTAAGATTCTAGACTAATGCTTCTGAAAATCTTTGTAGATCTTGGAGAAGAGAAGCTAGTTCTGCCCTAAGGCTGAGCCCCAACAAGGGCTCAAGGACTCAAACTCTGAAAAATGATGTTTTACTAGAGAAAAGCAATGACTTTGTTGATAAGTGCTATGCACTCAGTTCTGACTCATAGTGACCCTGTATAGAGTTTTTGAGCAGTACCTGGTAAGTTTGAACAGCCAACCGTGTAGTTCTCAAAGCAACTTTGCAGTTGAGTATCGTAAGGCACCACATACAGGAAAAACAATGCCTTTAAACACACTAAAGGCAACTCTCCCAACTTACTGCACAAAATACAACAAAATGTTGTATTCTGACACCCTTAAGAACAGTCTAGTCAAATGCCTCTAAAATTGAATATGCTTCTGAGTTGTGTTTTTTCCCAGCATTGCTCCATCCCTGTCTATAATTTTCTACAATTGAGTCACTTTGTACCAGTTCATGCCATCAGAACATGTCATTTTCCTTCTACCACAACAAGCTGTTGTTTGCTTTCCCTTTGGTCCTCAGAGACAATTCTATCAAGGGCCTCTTTCCAGGATGCAACTGCAAATCGAGTCAGCGCTCCCTTGGCCATAGGATGAAGGCTTTTATCTAGAAGCCTGTTCTGTAATGGCACCAGGATCATCTGGACAGGTAGATGGGGGAGGAGAAGGGCCACAACATTGCTCTTTGCCCCAAATGGTCCTATATAGCTTTAAGGAATTAGTAGCATAATAATAAGATTATTGGTAATTACCAGGAAGGCAGAAGAGGCCATAGCCAACCTAGTCTACTTGTTACAAGGGGGGAAAAAAAAGCTTTCAAAAAGTCCTTCATAAGTGATGAGAATTGAAGAGGCTTGGAATCACTTAGTCCAACAGACTAACGGAACATGTGAACATCAGTCTCCATGACTCTGAGACCAGAAGAACTAGATGGTGCCTGGCTACTGCTACCAACTACTCTGTAAAGAACCACGTTAGAAGGTCCTGAATAGAGTAGGAAAAAATGTGGAACAAAACAAAAAATTATTTTTAAAAACAGACCAGGCTTACTGATCATAAAGAGATTAAAAGTGGAATAAGTGTTATTGTATGGAGGGAATGCAAGTCATTGAGATGAAAACAAAGTGTAGGATTTGTTGAATGTAGAACTGATGATCTTGTCTGTAAACCTTCACTCAACTCAAAATAATACATTTTTTAAAATAAAATACATACGGTAAAAAAGAAATCCTTCACAAAAATCAAAGACTCAGGAAAAATTAGTCCAAAGACCATGTAAACCACAGACTCCACTACCCTGAGACCAGAAGAACTAGATGGAGCCCGACAATCATGACCAACTGCTCTAGTCAGGATCACAATAGAAGATTCTGTGCAGAAAGGGAGAGATACACATAGAACACTTCGAAATCCTAAAAAAGACTTACTGGTCTACTAGACACTGGTGGAACTCCCAAAACTGTGGTCCTTATATATCCTTCAAATCTGGAACTGAACTCACCTCCCCAGGTTCAACTTTTAGCCAACAAACAGACAGGTCTGTAAAGTGAATAGTAACACCAGAGAGGAACATATTCCTCAGTAACCATATGAGATCAAAAGGGCAGCATTTATCCCAAAACAAAGTTCAGAAGACAGGAAGAGGCAGAAAAGAATGAGCAACCAAGAGAGGACGCAGGAATCGTGCTGTTACATCGAGGGGACTGCAACCAATGTCACGAAACAAAATGTATATACATTGTGGAATTGAAAACTAATTTGCTTTGTAAACTCTTACTCAAACTACAACGAAAAGTTACAAAAAAAATAAAGTCCTTTATAAGAGACAGGACTTTAGAGATAATGGCTATTTTAAGACCAAATATTGCTGCTGGTAAGTGTTGTTGAGTCGGTTCAGACTCATAGTGACTCTGTATAAAGTTTCTGAGGAGCAGCTAGTGAATTTGAACTGCTAACACTGTGGCTTGTAGTTCAGTGTTGATCCTACAGCACCACATATTACATGCCTATTATTCACTCTAGAGTCTTGATGGGGTGTTGTTGGATAAGCAGTGAACTGCTAATCACAAGGTTGCCAGTTCAAACCCACCAGTCGCTCCTCGGTAACTCTATACAGGATTGCTATGAGTAGGAACTGACTCAACAGCACTTAACAACAATGTTATTCACTCCAGAACCAGTTGGAGAGGCTCTGTCATACGTTTAAAAATCACTTAAATGTATTGAATCTCACTTGGCACTAAAGTATCCTATAGGGGTTATAGCTCTGGCCAAGAGCCCATCTCCTGGGACCTGGAGTCCCATGGGCTCCCTAGGAATCCTCTCCCAAGCTCAGCTGTCAGAGGTTGGACTGCAGCCTCCAATTGGCAGCCTGCCCAGAATGGGCTGCTGCCAGGGAGGAGGATGTTAGTGAGCAGCAGTCTGGGATCTGCAGGCAGCTCGTGCCCTCTACAGCAGGAAGTCAAGGAGAGGTGCTACACAGCTTGGGTGCAGGAGGATGTCAGAGTTGGTATGAACAGTGGGGAGTAGTGAAAAGGAGGTCGTCATATATTGTCCCCAAATTATCTGAGCAAGGAGGCTAAGAAAATGTATGCTAATTTAGGAATGCCAATCATCCAACATTTTATATAATTAATTTTTGAGACTAGAGACAACAGAGTCCATAATGTTGACATGAGGCTTCTTCCACACTACCTCTCCAGGTCCTTCATGCTACAGCCAGAGCCTAGGGTTGGCCTGAGGGAAGACACAGGAATAGACCAGGGTGAAGAGTGGAGGGAATGGCCAAGTTTTGAGTCCGTCCTCTCGGGCCATCCTAATGGCAGATATTACCCATCAGGCTTGCTAAATGCCAACTATCCCTGCTGAACATGTAGCATGCGGACTCAGGATTCAAATTTCCATTGGAAAAATATATCTAAAGATCTGAGGATTTTGAAGCTTCTTGAGTCCTGGTGATGCAGTGGTTAAGCACTCTGCTGCTAAAGGAAAAGCTGGCAGTCTCAGTCACCAGCCACACCAAAGTAATAAAAATGTGGCAGCCTACTTTCATAAAGATTGCAGCCCTGGTGCAAAATATGCCCTTTGGACACTGAAATGAATGTGTATTTTTTAGTTTGTATGTGCACAGCAAATATTTTTGCTTTGTTGATTTGTGAAAAATCAGATGTAAAAGGGAAGCCACATGGAAGAAGCAGGATAACTGTTGTTGCAGAGAGGGGATTGTAATCATTTAAATGAAACAAAATGTACTATTAGGTGAGGGTAAAGCTGACAATCTTGCCTGTTACAAAACTCAAAAAACAAACACAAACATTTTTCTAGTTAAAATTAAAAAGAATTGTTTAAATGCATGCATGATCCCCCTCCCCCAAATAAAACATAATGAATAAAAAAAAGAACATACACACACACATACACACACACACACACACAAGCTTACAGCCTTGCAGAGATCAGGACATGGAGAAAGAGCCCAGCTGAGGACTCTAGACTCATAGAAGGAGAGGACCTGTGTGCTGGCGGCCGGGGGCAGACTTGCAGGGTGGTTGTTTAAATGATGGTTATATTTCTGAGTGTTTTGGTGTACATCCCAAAAAAAAAAAGAAAAAACCAGAGGGAATAGAAGCAAATACTGTTGAATGATGACACATGGAAGGGACTGTAATCATTGAAATTAAACAAAATATGATAGGATGAGTATAAAACTGATGTTCTCCCATGTAAACTATCACTCAATTCACAATAAACACTTAAAAAAAAGTTACAGCCTTGGAATTCCTATGAAGCAGTTCACATCAGCCCTATAAAGTTGCTAAGAGTCAGAATGAACTCAACAACAATGGGTTTGGTGATCTTGTTGTTGTTAAATGCTGTTGAGTCACTTCCAACCCATAGCAACCCTGTATAGGGTTTCCGAGGAGCGGCTGGTGAGCTCGAACCACCAACCTTGTGGCTCAAATGACTTTGTAGTCCAGCACATTAGCCCCCAGTGCTACACCATGACTCCTTGGGGACTTTATTATCCTGGAATAGTTACAATCCCTAATGAAGTCTGAAACCTGGTCCAGATTCCTGTCAGCCTTGGTAAGGAAATCAGAAATCACATGACCAATCCACCTCAGTGCTGGGTCTCTGACAATGGCACCAGAAACACTGGTACAAATACCAAAGAACCCTGCCAGCCAAGGGGGTAGATTTAGGTTGTTTTTATAATAATGTCAAATGGTAAAAGTTGGTAATGTGTTCCTCAACATTATTCCTTTACCTAAATGTATTAGTGATTCACAATGGGAACGTCATGGATTGAACTCTGACTCCTCAAAATATATTTCAACTTGGCTGGGCCTACTTCTCAGTGATTTGGAAGTTATGTGATGATGTAACCATTCCCGATGATGTGATTTAATATGATCAGCCAATCAGTTAGTTATAAGGAGATTAGGGTGAGATACAACTTTACTCAGTTCAGAATCCTGATCAGATATAAGAGGTGTGGGCCCGTATCACCTTTCATCTTACAAGAGAGAAAAAGTGAGCAGATGAGGAGGGACTTTGATACTACCAAGAGAGGTAAGCTGGGAATGAAGCACATCCTTTGGCTCCATGTATCCTACATGGAGACCCTCCTAGACCCAGGGGAAGACTGATGCCAAGACACATGGAGATCCTCAAGGAACACACTGGGCCACAGATGTAGAAAGGAGACAAGGACATTCTTCCAGAGCTGACAGAGAAAGAAAGCCTTCCCCTAGAGCTGAATTTAGGCTTCTAGCCTCCTGAACTATAAGAAAATACATTTCTGTTATAGCCTACCACCTGTGGTATTTCTATTCTAGCAGTACTAGGTAACTGGGAGGTCCTCAGGTGGCAATGTAGGATCAGCATTGGACTGCTAACCACAAGGTCAGTGTTTCAAACCCAACAGTCACTACTTAGAAACCCTATACAGGGTCACTATGGAGCAGAGCCAACTCGATGGTACTTAACAACAACAGACAACTAAGGCAGAATTTGGTGTCAGGAGTGGGCTCCTGCTCTTAGCTAATATATGGAAGCAGTTTTAGAATTGAGTAAAAAATAGAGGCTGGAGTTTTAAGATGCCCATTGGTAAAATCCTAGATTGCCTTGAAGAGACTGTTGGTGGAATTATAGAAGTGAAAGACAATTCTGATGAGAGCTCACAAAAAAAATGAGAACTGTAACACTGGAAATGGCATAAAAGGCAAGCGGCAGTAGCCAGGCAGGAGACCAGGGCAAGATAGCACGGGAGCCAAACCACGGAGCAAGAGAGCTGAGTACCTTCAGGTAGGAGATTTGCTGGCAAAGTGGGGTGCCTTTAGGGACTTGATGACAGAGCTAGGCTTGCTGATACAAAGAGTAAAAGAGGTGAGCAGGCTGAGGCCTACTGTTGCAGTGGTGTGCCTCCAAGTACTAACTAGTAGAGCTAATAAGTTTTGTAACATTTGCCCAGGCAGGTAGAGGCTGGGTTGACCCAAAAGGTCTGAGGAGTCGAGGGATACCAAAGAACCAGGAAGCAGAAGCTGCAGAGACAAGGAACACAGGAATCAGAACTGCCTCAGTCTCAAAGGGTAGGGCCATGACTTTGAGATCTTAAATGGTGGAACCAATGGCCAGTTGGGTCTCAAAGGGTAGAGTCATGGCCACCTAGGTTTCAAAGAGTCAGATCTCCACCAACTCAGTTCCAGAACGTGGGCATGTCATTCATGAATGTCAGGGGGATGGGAATGCTATGTCTAAAGGGCAGAAGAGCACGGCCTGCCAGGGGAGATCATCCCTAAAACACAAAAAGTTGAAGGAACAGAGTTGCTGTCCCAGTGGTCCTAGTAGATGGAGATGAATCCCAGAGCCAAGGGGCATCCATCCAGGATCCAAACAGCATGGCCAACACCCAGAGTCAGGAAGGCAGAGCCACTGCTGGGTGATCTTATAGAACAGAGGATTGTTTTCAAGCCTTTACAGTGAAAACAAATGGTTCTGCTGGATTTTGGACTTGCTTGATGCCCATTATACCTTCCTTCCCTTCAATTTTTCCCATTCGAAATAGAAATGTCTACCTTGTGTTGTGCTTATTCCACCACTGTACTTTGGAAGCAGACAACCTGTAGCTCAGATTCACATATTAAGAGGAATTTTGCCCCAGGATGGAATTTGGATTAGGAATTGATTTAAAACTTTGGGGATATGATGGGGAGAAAGGGTCTTGCATGGAGCAAGGCCATGAACTTTGAGGGGAGTATGGTGATTCCACTGGATAAACACTGGACTGCAAACCACAAGGTCAATGGTTCAAGCCCACCAGTCCCTCCACATGAGAAATATGAGGCTTTCTGCTCTCACAAAGATTTACAACCTTGGAAACCCTGTACAGGGTGGCTATGAGTCGAAAGTGACTCCATGGCACTTATCAACAAACGGTGGAATGTTATGGATTGAATTGTGTCCCCCAACTTGGCTAGGCAATGATTCTCTGGTTTGGTAGTTATGTAATGATGCAATTTGGCATGTATGTATATCTGATCTGATCAGGATTAGAATGTGATTTAACAGCTTTCTCAGGTCACAGTCGTTATCAGATGTAAGGGACGTTTCCCTGGGGTGTAGCCTGCATCACTTTTTTTTTGTTTTGGTTTTTCATCACTTTTTATCTTACAAGAGTTAAAAGAAGAGAGAAGTATGCAGATTAAGAGGGACCTGAGTACCAGCAAGAAAGTAGAGTTGGGAATAGAGTATGTTCTTTAGACCTGGGGCTCCTCCACTGAGAACCTTTAGACTCAGGGGAAGACTGATGCCAAGATACATTGAGATCTCCAAGGGGCACTGGGCTTAAAGATGATGAAAAGGTGATAAAGAGCTTCCCCCAGAGCTGACAGAGGAAGACTTCTCCTAGAGCTGGACTTCTAGTCTCCTGAACTGTGAGAGAACAGATTTCTGTTGGAGCAGCCCTAATAAATTAGACAGGACTCCTAGCCTTCAGCCACCTCTTTTTATCTTCAGGCCAAACCACCTCACAGATGAAAAGCTTCATATATTTAGTACTCCAGTAGAAAGTAAGACCTCTATCTAAAGCTTCCACAGGCTCTCCTCATTCTAACATCCCAAGACACTATGTTCACTCCATTGTCCACTCAAATGAAAAAGTGTTAATAGTTTTTATCTATCCTTTCACTGAAGGCCTTTGAATATCTTTTGTGGTCTTTTGGGGATTTCCTAGTTCAACTACGAGTCTCTGGAGGGATGCAGCCTGAGTACCAGGGATATTTTAGTGGAAGGAACCTGTATTCTCTTTTGCTTCAGCCCTTTTCTGAATTGTCAGTCACAGCACACCCTGGGTTGCAGCCTCTGGAGACACAGCTGCACAGATTCTCATTCTTTTTCTTCAGCTGTTGTTGTTGTTAAGTGCCACCGAGTCGATTCCGACCCATAGTGACCCTCTATAGGGTTTCCAAGGAGCAGCTGGTAAGCTTGAACCACCGACCTTGCAGCTGAAACGACTTTCAGTCTGATGCATTAGCCCACAGCACCACACACACCTCGAATTGACAGTCTTTTAGATGCATTTAATATTTTCTCCAAAGGCCCACATTAACTGGCTACAGCTAAATAGTCTTCTGTAATTCCAGTTATCATTAGCCACTTAAGCAATGACACCAAAAGGTTCAAGTAACCAGAGTACCTTTGGGGCCAAAGGCTAACCTGATGTATATACAAAGAAGGCAGTGCTTTGCTATTCTGACACTTAGGAAAAACGATACAATCCCAGATTAAATTAACTAGCATGTGAGGGACCTGCTTTTTCTACGGACCAGTCTGGCTCCACATAACATCCATTCAGGCAACATATGACCTCATTATATGTCCATGGTCCCAAATCCCTGTAAAACCTTTTTAAAATTATGAAGTACATACGACAATTTTTAATAACAAATGGGCTCTATTTTGCAACACATATCAAAATATTATTACTGTATTATTATATCAATAATAATTTTAGTCCATCTGGAAGTACTTCTATAATGTTTTCTTATACATAGAAAAGTACACCATATACCATATTGTTGTTAAGTGTTGTTGTGTTGGTTCTGACTCATAGCAATCCTGCACAGGGTTTCCGAAGATCAGCTGGTGGGTTTGAACTGCCAACCCTTGTGGTTCACAGTACAGTGCTGATCCACAGTGTCACACCAGAAGTCCATATACTATATGCTGTTGTTGTGTGCCATGGAGTCAGTTCCAACTCATAGTGACTTTGTATAGGATTTCCGAGGAGCATCTGGTGAGCTTGAACCACCGACCTCGTAGTTCAAACCAACCCTGGGGTTGAGTACTTATCCTATGGCGCCACACCAGAACTCCATATACTATATATTACATACTTATACAAACAGTTAACCAACTGACATTAGATCCAAACTGTACTTAACTCTCCCAACTCACATACAATCTGATTTTAACACAGATTTAGGAATGGAACTCACTGATATTTTGAGATCTGTCTGTATAGAATATGGTGTTTGCACAACATCTAAACCACATATGCACAATTTCACAGAATATATTGTTGACGTTAAGTGATATACAACTGTGTATTGTTATAATCATGCTTTTAACATAGACGGTTTTTACTTTCAGACCCTATTTATCATTGCAATTTTTCAAAAACATTAGTAAATGCTTTTCTCACAAGAATAATCAAATATTTTGAACATTCAGCACAGTTTAAGAATAATAACATATTTTATACTTCATTATAACTAACTCTGTAGAACTAAGGACATAATATTCTTTCTTCAATCTCCAGCATTTCTATGAACAATAACAGTGGAGTGACAATAGCACACCAGAATACAAAAGAATTACAAAACAAAACTTGCCTGATAACCACTTCATTTGTGTTGTTCAGTTCAACCACCAATACAGATGGGGACACTTCGGTCGGAATGGTTAGAGAAGGAACTGTTACATCTTCCATTATGGTATCTTCACTTTCACCAATGTTTTCTTCTATCTGCAAGTATTCTTGTTCCACCATACATTTGATATCATAATCGCCCTGGGCTTGCACTGCATCATTGATGGTTTTGTCAGTGGGCACTGGAAGTTTAGCATAGAGAATGGCCTTCTGGGGATTTCCAGAAATGTAGTCTATAGTGCATACATCAGAGAGTGAGGCAAGATTTTTTAAGACATCCTCAGGGAATTTCATTTTGTACATGTCCTCAAATGCTTTGGGGAGTGCACTGGCCCAAAGACCACTTGGGTATTTCCCCAGTAGCTCTGCAACTTTCTCTTTCGAGTCTCCTGGCGTAACTGTTGTGCATCCTTTTAATGTTGGCATTTGTTTTTGAGCAGGTGGTAGGGATGGAGGCACTTTTTCATCGTTCAGTTCATTTCTGGCAAGCTGCGGTCTCTTCGCTGGATAAAGAAGCAAGTCTTGACCACCACTGCAGGGTTTTTCCACCTAGAATTTTTAAATAGAGCAAACAATGATAGACATTTCAATGGTAACCTGAAAACACATAAATGCATTTACATTTGAGAGCAACATGGTTTGCAAATTAATCAAGATAATGCAAAATATAGACTTTACTATTTCCAATTTTATAATTCTCACTTACTGAAACTTTAATGCCTTGCCTTCACTTGGAAATAACATCATGAGCCACATTTCAGAACTAAGCAGACTAATGAACTAGGACTAATCTCATGTGTGAGATTTCACTAAGTGTAAAAAACCCTAAGGGCTTCTGCCCTGAAAACTGTACATTTCATTCCCTCTGCCACGTCCACAGCAACAGATTATAAAATTGACTATCAAGTAAAAAGGTATCAGAACAGTAAGAAATAAAGTTTTAGGAAGAAAGCAAGGAAATATTTCAACACAACTGGAGATTCATCATGTAATAGTCTTCTGCAATAGCCTCAGCTTTCCATAGTTTAGAGAAAAATCTCCAGAATTAAGATACAGATTTTTACAACTTCACCATAAGGTTAGTTAAGTGTGGCCTCTGCAGTGAACAAGCATAAAAACATCTGGCATTTGTATATCATCCAATCTCTCAGTTTATCTGTATAGTATTCCTGAGAGGTATGGCTTGATGTCATCTCTCGATACAGAAAACTTGATGTAGGCCACCATTTTTCCCACGCTCTAAGCCCGTCTAATAGTAGAGCAAGGGTCAGCAAACCATAGCTCACAGGACAAACCCAGCTCACTACCTGTTTTTGTATGGCCCTTGAGCAAAGAACAGTTTCTGCATTTCTCAATGATTAGAAACAAATCAAAAGAAGAATATTTTTGTGACATGTGAAAATCACATGAAATTTGAAAGCCATAAATAAAGTTGTTTTGTTTGAATGAAATTATAATTATTTTTAATTAGCTGTTGTTATTAAGTGCTGTCAACTTGGTTCCACCTCATAATGACCCTGTATAGGGTTTCTGAAGAGCAGCTGGTGGGTTTGAACTGCTGACCTTGTGATTCACGGCCCAGTGCTGATTCACAGCACCACACCAGAAGCCCACTGTTAATCTGCTAGCTATGCTTATTTATTTTCTTTAAATGTTTTATTGTGAATTATGTGATAGTTTACATGGAAGAACATTATTAGTTATACATTCATCCTATCGTATATCGTTTCATTGGCATTGGTTACAGTCCCCTCCATGCATCATCAACCAACCAAAGGGTATACCCTGCAAGCCTGTGTCCCCCCTCTCCCCCCCCTCCCCCAGCTGTCAGCACATAGCCTCTCTCCCTCTCTGGGTCTAAAGTCCCCAGCCACTCCATCTCCATCTCTGGCATCACTGCTTCTCTGGGTAGGGTTCCGTTGTCCACTTTTCTCCCTTGATGGTCCCAGGGACCTCTACTCCTAGACTGCAAAGTCAATCACTCCCCTCCTTTTGCTACAAAACATCTACCTTTACATTACCAACCCTCACAGTCAGTCCTGATAGCAATTATTCACTATTGTACCACAGAGACCTATCTGCATCTCCTTTCATCAGTCCCACCCAGACAGGCTGAATACTACTCAGAAGAGATTCTCCTTCCTCTGCACCCTCTGGATCTAGGCTCCCTCTTGAAAGCTTGTAAGCCAGTCACTTCTTGCCTTTGTAGCCCCCCTACCCCCATTTTGGGTAGCCAATGTCCAAGTTTCCCATCCCTGTCTACTCTGTGTATGGAGGGGGTGGGAATGACCCTGCTGTAAAGATTTGTTCCTTCTTTTGAGCTACTGCATCCATTGGTGTAGGTCAGGTTCATCAAATTGTATCAGATTACTCTTTTTTTCCTCTTCTTTCTTCTTCTAGTTGCGCTCTGATCATCCAGTCATTGAAGCCAGGTCAAGTGGGTATTATCTGCAAGTGTGGGTGTACTTATGCATATGCCCTCTCTTCTTATCAGCTGGATGCTTCACTCTCCACTCTAGTCCTCTGTGGCTATGTCACTGACTCTGGGCCCAAGAGTCCCCAGTCTTGCCACACTGCTGGCCAACCAGGTCTCCACCTGGGCATAAATAAAGTTTACAGGAACACAGCCTGGCTGCTTTTGTACTACAGTGGCAGTGCTGAGTAGATGTGATGACACAAAGCCTAACACATTTACTGCCTGGACATTTACAGAAGAAACGTGCCAGTCCGGTATTAGAACTCTATACTGAATTAATATTCACAGACTTCTGAAAAGCTGCAATTTGATCAGATCCTAGTTAGCTATTCTTTAGCTACAATTAATGTCCATAGGAAGCTATTCCAGACACCAGGGAAACCATACAGACAAATAAGAAGTCACTCAACCAAAAGAACAAAATATTAAAGTACACTAGGTGGAGGCACATTAGCAAACAACGCGGATTTTAGCTATCTCCGTGGGAAGTTACAAAGAGAGAACAGAAACAGATACAAGAAAGAAAGTATTACTACCATGGAAGAGCTTTGAAAAGTAAAAAGACATGGATAAGTTTCTATTAGAGCACAGAGGCTCTGTAGAATACGCACAGGACTGTGAACCACAAGGTAGGCAGTTTGAGCCCACCAGCTGCTACCCAGTTGAAAACTGAGGTTTTCTGTTCCCACAAAGATTTACAGCCTCGGAAATCCTATAAAGGGTCCCGATTACACGACACTTAATGACAATAATTTTATATTAAACTAGATTCATCTTTGAGCTTAACTATATATTCCAGATGATACATAAGCTATGAATGGCTGTTAATATATTTATATCTGTAAGTTTAAGATTACATTAGGTTTCCCTCCTCAGAGTCCTCTGTCATGCTGTGCTTGAGTAGAGAACTACAAATTCTACTGGAAGAGGTCAAAGCATCACTGGAAGCAGATGCGCTCCAATTTGTGTGATATACTGCTCTAGCACCTTGTGACAGTTCTAAAGAAATTTTAAAGAAATATGAAATGATTTTCCCAATTTAGATCCCTAATTTTAAGTCACAGGGACACAAACAAATATTTGTAGCTCATCCTATTCTGTTCTTGATAGTATTTAATCCACATCTCTAGAGCCCCAAGTTTTAAAACCTGGAATTATAAAATGTCAGTCTTTACTATGCTTTAAGATACTTATAAGAATACAGATTGGTATCCAGAAAAGGTCTGAGAAATGTACATTTGAAGTACTGGAAAAAGAAAACAGAATTCTCTGTCTTACTTGCCATACTGAATCCAGATTCATGAAATTTTAGGTTAGATATGGCGGTCCTCCACACCCAATGCCCACTAGGCAGGCAGGGCCTGTCTTAAAACCTTTCAATTTTCACCTACCTGCCACTCCTCCTCATGCTTTCTGACACGTTCCCTGAAGCAGACAATAGAGGCAGGATATTCAGTCTTATTTTACTCCTACTTAGTTAGTTATTTAAAATGTATTTTGTTGGAGTTTAGAATACACACAGCAGGAAAAATACCAATTACACAGTTTCTATATGTACAATTCAGTGGCACTGGTTTTATTATTCCAACTGTGCAACTAATCTCACCCTCATTTTCTGAATTGTTTCCTCTCATTCACATAAACTCACTGCCCGTGATGGTTCCTATCTAATATTCTGAGTTGTCAATTTGATCCCCTATCGATAGTTCTTCAAAAAGCATAATGCTCAAGGTAGACACTTTTTACTAGTTTAGCTAAACTACAATTTGGTTTTAAGACTTCAAGGAATACTTTTGGCTTAAGTTTTTATTTTTTTACTTTTACTGTGATTTGAGTGAACATTTACAAAGCAAATTAATCTTCCATTCAGTAATTCATACATATTTTATTTCATGACATTGATCATAATCCCCACAATGTAACAGTATGAATCCTACTTCCACCCTGTGTTTCCCATTTCCATTCGTCTTTTTTCCCTATCCCTTTTGATCTTCTGAACTTCGTCTCTGGGAAAATGCTGCCCTTTTGATCTTGCATGGCTGACTGTTATAAGCAGCAGTACCTCCCTGATGTTACTGTTCACATTATGGGCCTTGCCTGGCTAAAAGGTGAAGCATGAGGTGAGTTCAATTCTAGGCCCTGACTGGTAATTAAGGGCCACGGGCCTCACGGGTTCTACCAGTCTCTATCCAATCAAAACACCTTGTCTTTTTTATGATTTTGAATTTTGCTCGATCTTTTTCTCCCAGTGTTAGCCAAGCACCATTTATTTCTTCTGGTCTCAAGGTTGTGAAGGCTGAGGTCAACATGGTCCATTATTGCTTTGGGCTAATTGCTTTCTTCACTCTTGTTTGTTTTCAGATGGGAAGAGACCAATAGTTGTATCTCAAACGGCCACTAGCAAACTTCTAAGGCCTTAGTCACTAGTCACCAAAGTAGCACGTAGACCTTTTCTTTTATGCTGTATCAATTGATCATGGTGTCCCGGAAACTATTGTCTTGGGCCCCCAGACCCAGTGCCTCGGTCTCAAGGCATTTGGTTATGGCTAAGCTCTGGTAGCGTAGTGGTTACGAATCGGGCTGCGAACTGCAAGGTCAACAGTTCGAAACTACCAGCTGCTCTACAGGAGAAAGATGAGGCTTTCTGCTCCCGTAAAGACTTACAGCCTCGGAAACCCTGTTCAGGGTCGCTATGGGTCGGAACCTACTCGACGGCACTTAACAACAACAACGAAATTTTCATAATTGCTCTCCTGAATGATCTACTATATACATAGATATATTTGTATTGTTGGTGTTAAGTGCTTTTGAGTCAGTTCCAACTCATAGTGACCCTGTATTGAGTTTCCAAGGAGCACCTGGTGGGTTTGAACTGCTAATCTGTGGTAAGCAGTCCAGTGTTTATTCTATAGCACCACACCAGGACCCGAGATATATTCATAGTACATATGAATACATTTGTAGGTACAGCAGCATTGATGTGGCAATGTAGGATAAGCGCTGGACTGCTAACCACAGGGTTGGCTGTTCAAACCTACCAGTCATGCTCAGGTGGTTATGAGTCAGAGCCGAC